TTTCACTAAAGAGTCTTATAAGAAGTACATCAAGGACTACATGAAAGCGTAAGAGATCCTGGCCTTCTTTACTTCAACATTAGACTACTGCAGCATTGACTATATTGGGTTGACCTACCAAAATATTCAGATGCTTGGAGAAAGCAGCTTCTAACAGTGGCAGGCAGCTGTGAGCATGATATCCCAATTGGAAACAATCAGTTTCTAGTAGAGTTACAATGTACAGCCTTACATAGAGTTGTCTCCATCTATTCAGATACAGCATATCTCATAATAATACTGGAAAAGTCAACAATGATATTATTGGTATGCCAGCTTTTCTCATAATTAAGCTAGCGGAGACACGGATGTTCTAGAGGGGAAAACTGAGCCATTTAAGATCAAGATTCAGCTAGTACTAGGCAAATGTAGTGATACCACTGGGGATGCAGTGTGATGGGTTAAATGGGCATCACTTCATAAGTCCAGGATTGACTAGCTTAACAATGAGGAAAAGTAGCAAGAATAGCTCATTCTCTTCCTGTTGTGAATTTTGATACCTTACTCCTTTTTAAAAACTAGATAATGGGCATAAAGTTGTATAACAGGGCATATTCTTTGTACTGAATCTGATGGCAATACCACTTCATTTCCCCTATTTTTTCTTTCCATGGGAGACAATCACATGATACTTTGGGGATTTTTGTTTGTTTTAGCCACTGAGCAGAAGTCCCTTTCAAATTCAAAAAATATCCAACTCAAAACACTTTTGAGAGAAGGGCTTTTTCCTAAAAGATAGGGGTGGATGAAAAATCTCTTATTGGAAGTGGATAGAGCCCAACCCTAGGCAGGAAAGAAATAACAAGAAGAAAACAACCCTGCCATAATGACTACATGGAGGTCAAACTAGCTTTGTATGACCTGACAGGGCCACCAAGATAGATTATCCTCAGTTGTACCTTTGCTAATCTTGCTATAATGAGGTCCATGGTAAACCTGACCCATGTCAGGTTATTTCTACATAAATTCTGTTAAGTAAGACAAACTTTCCTGGAGACTAAATAAAACTGGCAAATGAAGGAAAACATATTGGGACAGGGGCATGAATGGAACCTAATACTTCAACTTATAACTTGTTGGTTGTGTTTAAGAACTGCTTTTTTCCCCTTAGAATCAAAACCAGACTTGAGGAAACAAAGCCAGATAGAGTAAAGCCGTTCATGACAGGGGCAGCTGAACAAGTCAAACATATCCTTGCAAACTTCAAAAATTACCAGGCAAGTTGCAGAGTTCTGTATTCCTTCATAAAGTATATATCTGTGGCAAGTGTTGATGTTTGTGGATCACAAGGCAATCTTTTTTACAGTTACTATAAAACCTGCTAATCTGTAGGAAATGGCTAGAAGTTGGGTAAAAATAATCTATGTAAGACTTCTGGCATATTCAAATGCTATGTAGTACTCTACTAGAATTACTCTGGTAAACAGAAGCTAAGGCCTGCCTTAGTTACTTTCATGTTACAGTAGGAGATTATTATCATTAAGTATATAGCAACATCCATGTATATTGTACTTTAGAAGTAAAACTATAGCAAAGCTGTTCCCTGCCCTCTGCCTTACTATCTACTTAAAACACAACCCAAGATAAAAAAGGAATGGCAGCAGGGTAGGAGGGGATTCAGTTCAGCACATATTGCCCCCTTTTCCCCTCTCCTTCTGAGGCCATGGTAATTCATTTTCTTCTGGTCCTGCTACAGGACCTAGGCAGCAGGTGGACCTCACAAAAGGGAATTTCAGAGGCTCGGTCACCACCAATAATGTGCTGTCTCACCGGCGCAGCAGCTTCACCGTTTTTGACCATTGAAGCTTTAAAAGCTCAGATCATCATTTGGAATACTAGTAACAAGTACATCTAGTGCAAGGTTAGTTATGTTTGAAACTAGTCTCTTGTATATAAACCTCCAGTTTTTTTTCCTTCCAGTTTTTTATAGGTGACAGCATGAATCCAGATGGCATGGTTGGCTTGCTGGATTTCCGTGAAGATGGCGTGACCCCATTTATGATTTTCTTTAAGGATGGATTAGAGATGGAGAAATTTGTAAGTAGAAATTGTAGGAGAAACTGCCGAAATGAAAAGGTTGTGTGATTTAAAATGTTGACAGAAATGAAAGAAAAAGTGTGAGGTACTTTTTATCTTCCCTGTATTGGGATGAATTTTTAGCAGCAGATGTTGAAAGCTCCAGACAGTTAATCTTTGCAGCCTTTTCAGGATAGCGAAGATACTGTCTCTTGATCACTTTGGCAGCAGTTTTCTTTCAACTAGAGAGTTCTGTAATAACCTGTTGGGCGCGGGTGCAACCAGTGTCCCTGGGTAGGGCTGTGCCATGTTTCTATAAGGGCATGAGAATAGTAGAAGCAGTGTTAATCCTTCTCTTTGTCCCTAACATTGAATATGCTTTACACCCACCATACAGAGTTGACACTGTCATTGAGCCATTAACTTCAACTGAACGAACAGGGTTTTTCATGCCCAGTGACCACTAATTTATTCCCTCTTCCTTTATATGAAGCTTGTTGAACTTCATAGCCTGTAGTGTTGTCAATTTATTGAGTCTGAAAAATCCTTTTTAGAGTTCTTTACAGACTGTTTGGTCTCATGGTGTCTAATAATTTAGTGCCACTCATCACCTTGCTACCTCAACATTTGCTTCTCACATTATTAATTTACACCCCACATTTTCTCTCCCAAAGGAGACTCAAAGTGACTAATACTAAAAACCATTAAAAACAACACATGTAAACCTTAAAATAAAATTAAACATAGAAATATAAAACTACATTAAAGGTAAAAGTTTCTCCTGACATTAAGTCTAGTTGTGTCCAACTCTGGAGGGAGGTGCTCGTCTCCATTTCTAAGATAGTATCATCCGTAGACACCACCCAGGTCATGTGGCTGGCATGACTGCATGGAGCGCCATATACATACCATAATTTAAATCAATAAAACATTAAAGAAATCGATTAAGCCACATAAAACACAGCACGTCTGGATCGGTCTTAAAAACTTCTTTAAAAACTTACTTGAAAAGAAAGGTTATAGCTGCCAGAAGGATAGCAGGGAAGGGGGCCATTGTGGCAGACTCTAGGGCAACCACTGAGAGAGAAGGGCCTCTCCTGAGGATCTCAGGGCTCAATATTGGGAGGTGCAATCCTAGCATCAAACCCCAGCAGATGTCAGTGGCTTAATGTAACTTAATAGTCTCTGCTCACTTGTCTACTACTAGAGAGGTTTCAGTGAGGGAGATTGGGAGGCTTGCTGCAGAGGATAGGTTAATAAATACGCAACTTTCCAGATTCCAATGATTTTTTCTTATTAAAATACTGTTGGGTTGTTTTGTTAAGAGAGTAGTTTGACAGGTAATGGATCATTGTCTCTATGTTAATAGGCCAACAGTGTTGTCAAACAGGTTTTCAGCACATGCATTTTCTGCCCCTTCTAATAATGAGAAGATTCTGCACTTTAAAACTTGTTGGTCAGGGAGAAAATGCAAATTGAATATGTAAACACATATTGTGTATAAATGGTATAATATACATAATGGTAGATTTAACATTATCTGAATATAGCCAACAATGTGTTGGCAGCTGTATTTATTTGCATCTCTGTGACCAAAAGGGGCTTACCTTTCAGCCTCTAGGAAGGCTGTAACCAGGGCTGTCAGCTATTGGAGGTTATGGGGCTGTATTGCCCACCCCATGGGGTCTTTGAGAGGATTGGCCTCTCCCTCCACCATCCTGCAAGTTTGTCTAGGGGGTGTCTTTGAGGGCATTTTCATTGTGTTTTGGGGGTCAGGCGAAGTCCAGGAGAGAAGCCTTTTACAAATAGACAAGTGATCTGATATAAAGGACAGATAAAATATGTTGGGGTGAATTGCAATACTTTGAATAAAAGACAGCCCAAAAGTTCTGAAACTATCCCTCACAGTAACAATTTTTATTGTGAAAAGCCAATTCTACTGCCATAGGAATGTAATTTCTTCACTACATTTCTTATTAAAGGTTGTAATGGGTCATTTCAGGAATTTTCCTTCTAATGCAAGAAAATAATTGAAAACCATATAGATTTCAAAGGCTATTCATAATTCAAAACTTGTTCTGTGAAAATTTTGCATATGATTGGTTTGTGCAGGTTTTTTAAAAAAAACAGATTAGAGACCTACGTTTTGAAAATGCAAATAAAAATATAAAAGACATTTAAAACACAGTTGACTCCTCCCAGCCAAAAAGTTGTAATATATTTCTAATTACTTGATTTTTGCTAAATATAAACAAATGTAGTTCAATTAATACCTATCCACAAGTGATATTAATATAAACCAGTTTAAACATTTTACTAAAATTCAATTATTATAATTTCAGTTTTTAGTTTCCTTTTGGTATTTTCCCATTTTTCACTTTATCTAGATTGATTTTACTGTATTTCAAGTATTTTCCCTGATATATCTTGTTATATTTTCCCCTTCCTTTATTTTATTTTTATTTTATTTTATTTATATGTCTTTATTTTTTACACCACACACAATATATCTTTTATTTTAGTTCCTTCTAAAAATGCTATTGTTTTTCCACATCTCTTCCAATATTCTCCATACACAACAGGTTATCGAACCTCTCCACTGATAATCTTAATGTTCAATTTGAACATTTTAAATGTAATTCAATCCTTGTAATTTCAACTTGAAAAAGGGCTTCTCTTTCTGTTCAACAGAAAAAAGTGCTGGCACACCCAGAGAGGAACTTCAAATGAATGAGGGAACATAAAAATATGGAAAAACATGACATTTTGAGGGCAAAATAAGTTTCCATTTGGACATGGGCTGAGGCCACAGAAGTCAGGCTTTGGCCCTTGTTGCCAGGTGTTCTCTGGTCCCCAGGGTTATAAATAGGATTTACTATTCTATCTGAAATTCTTGATGCTCCAAGTGCTAACCCTACTTTGCTTCTGATACTTCCTTGAACATTGAGCATCTGCTGATAGGCCAGGAGCATTTCTTTTGTGTTCTCTGGTTTGCAATAAGATGCAATAGCAACTTCCTTGCGCTTTCTGTTTGCCTGATATCATGGCAACTCAGATTGAAAATGGGCGAACAATTTAATAAAATAGTACTGAATGTTGACATTAAAAAACCCGGTTTTGAGCACAAGCTAACTCTCATTACTTTCTTAACAGTAACAAGAGATCAGCTCTTCTGGATCACCCATCATCATTATAATTGGCTGCTGCTCTATATTCATCAACAAAACATCATGACTCAGCAATGTCTGAAAACTGGACTGATGCCGTCTTGAGCTTAATTTGATTTATTTTGACCCTGAAATATTTGGAATGGAGGCATTGGTTTTTAAAAACTTGTCATGTAGGCTGTCAAAAATAAAAAAACAAACTCATTTAAACCCAGCATAGGTCATGCCTCTTGGTTTAATGTGTTGAACAGGGTTCTCCAGCCAGCAGGCTTCGTGTAGTTCTTGTGCATTTGGATTAGCATAGCCTGGCCTTTGTACATGCAGGAAACGGTCTCCAGATCCCGGGGGCCCTGGAACGTGGAAGATCAACCAGCTACAACTGAACTGCTTTTTAGGCACCTGAAAAACAACAGATACAAAAAGGCTTTCCTTCTGAACTGGATCTGGCTCCTTGCCATTCAACAGACCACAATAACTAGCTGGAGGACACATTTGGAAGCCTGAATGATGCTGATCTGTGCACTGATTTGAGTTCTTAACCAGTTAAAGAGACAGTGATCCCTTCAGTTTATCACGACAAAAGCAGAGCTTGGAAAGATCAACTTGATGACAGAGAGGAGCATATTAGGCAAAGAATCTACACAGGAGGCATTGCTTATATGCTGTAGTTTGAAGTAACTGTAACGTAAAATACCTAAGTAATACATGCAACACAATAATCACAGGATACTAATTTGCTGTGTGGTGTGTCAATCTGAGCTCAGATCTTTCATATGTTAACTGAAAACCTTTAAGCACTGGACAGTAGAATGACCTGTAGTAGGCAATGTGTGTACCTTTTATCTAATGAACATTTTGCAAAATCCTGAGGACACCTTTCTACTTCTGTCCCTTGTATGCATCTGTATGGCAAGCTGAGAGTATGTAAACTTACTTTTAAGTTGAGAATGCCTTGCTTTTTGTAAGTCATTCAGTGTTATTCATCCTTGGGCGGGGCTTCTCCCAAGAATAAGTCACAAGCAGTTTTGCCTTCAAAAGTTAAACAGTAACTTGGATAGAAAAGGTGGCTTTTCATAATGAGGGCCAAATTACATGCTTAGATTAAATGATATGTGTATCTGCAAATTTGTGGTACTGGAATAAAGCATTAGTCTGACACACACTGCTTTGCTCCACAATAAGAAGAAAGACCTGTAACAGAATCAGAAGGTGCCCTGCTGATTCCTTCCATTCATGAGTGTGAATGAGTTGGGAAATATCCTGGGTTACCATTATGAGCCTAGACTTGCCAGCCATTATGGACCTGCATCCTTATTCAGAGTATCTAAATTCTGCCATGTGGAGTAACCAAATAGCCAATAGACTTTGCTGAGTGTGTATCAACACTGTATTACAAAAATCACTTATTCTGCATATTCCTGTGAGTTACCCATAGTCTCACATGTTTTGATTAATCAGTTCAGTTTAGCCAACCTTGAAGTTGCCAGTTCTGACCAAATCTTTTCAAATATTTGAAAGGATGTCATATTGAGGAGGGACAGGCTTGTACTCTGCTGCTCTAGAGACTAGGACATGGATCAGTTGGTTCAACTGGAAAAAGCTGGTTCAACTGGAAAAAGCTGTTCTGTGTGGAATATGCTGCCTGGTAGTGTTGTGTCTCCCTCTTTAGAGGCTTCTAAACAGGCTGGATGGCCATCCGTTGAGAGTGCTTTTATTATTTCACATGACAGGGCTAGAATTGATGGTGGTGGTTTTAAATTTGATAGCAAGTTTAATTTTCAAATTGCCACTTTGGTTCCTTTTTTGAGACCCCTTCAACTCTCACTAGGGGCCCTTCCACACAGCCACATAACCCAGAATATCAATGCTGAAAATCCCACCATATCTGCTTTGAACTGGAATATCTGAGTCCACACTCCCAAATATTCCAGTTCAAAGCAGAGAATGTGGGATTTTATTCAGCTGTGTGGAAGGGGCCTAGCTTTCATTTCTTTCACTCTCTCCTTGCACCTTGATTCTGCAACCGCTTAAAATGGTTTTAAGCTATCAAATATTGAGTGCCTATTGCATGGTGACGCTTGCTCTGGGCATCCATTACTTAGCTTTTGGGATGTGGGAACTGTCACCTTTTGGTACATGTGGTGTAATCATGCTGGTCCCTTATTTTAAAATATCCAGGGACTCCTTAACCCTCAAATGTTAGACTAGTAACAGGCAAATAAATTAAGGCAAAGTATTGAGGGAATTGGCGTCTTCGAAAACATGCATAGCTAGGAATTAGCCTGTACCAGAACCCAGCTACTCTTCTGGTTTGCTGAGTTGTGTTTAGTCACTTAATTAGGCAATAAAATAAATACAAATCCTCATCTAGTTGTCTCTTTTCCCTCACTGAGATAAACTTATGTATGTAATTGAGGAGCTAACAGATATCCTATGCATCTATAAAATGTTTATTTCCCATAGCCAGTAAACTTGGACCCTGCCAAATTCATTATGAAAACAAAAACTCCAAATGTCCCAACATTCTTCACAATTCTGCTTGCGGCTTTCTCAAATGCTTGAAATTACTGTAGTGAAGGACAGAGGTCCTTACATGGGCACCAAAGAGCTGTCCCCGATACTCATTTTTATCTGCATGTGCTCGATGATTGCACTGTGCCAACCATATTTTAAGTGAGACTTTTTTTAAAAAAAATGGGGTGAAGAAATTGAATGGTTCACATGTTCCTGGAGTTGCACTCCCAGGCAGCATAACCAATAAGTAAAAGTACCAGGCCATCATCTGGAGGAGTCTGCTTTTTCCACCCTGGCTTCAACTGAAAGCAGTGGTAGTTTAAATACTATTTCTAGTCTAAGTACCACATTGTATACTTTCATAGATTTCGTGGAACATGCCTTGCCTTTTTTACAGAAGACCAAAGGTATTGAATTGTACGCTTATAGTAACGAGTGCTTTGAACTCTAGTAAGTGTGAGGTAAGAATCTGAGATAAGAGAGGGCAACTTATGATCTAAATCTGTTGGGTGCTACCTTGGTCTTAATTGGACAAGTTCAATAATTGACACATTAGTCTCCTTAAATTTTAGCCTGGGTTTTTGTGTGAAAGGAACCCATCTGTTACTGAAAGAGGATGCAGCACTTGCCACAGGGCACATCACTTAGTTGTATTTTCCAACTGTTCCAGCAGATTTCTATTTTGTGGAGGGGGGGGTATTTGGTATTGGTATGCCATGAATTTTCATGAATGTATTTTAAAAGGATCAGTAGTGCATTTCCTTATGTAGGCAGGTAATTTAACTGTGAGGGTCACTAAGAAAATTGGGACAACCACAGCTATTTGACTTTTTAAATAGGGAATGTCCACAAATGTTGATGTTTCAGCAAAATAAAAAGTGTTGGCAAGTTACTCTAGGTGTTCAGTGAATTGGAATGTAAAGTAAGAAAACTATTAGCAAGCATGACGTTAAAGCTACCATGTACAAAGTAGGTTTTCAGTCTTCACCTATGAGGACTTTTATTTGCATAAAATGCCTGACTGATGGATGCTAATAAAGATGTGTGATTATTTAGTTATGGGTCTGTCTTCAGGGGAGTGAGGTTGTTAAAAGATTCCATCAAACTTCCTTAGGACCAATGCAATATAAATGCTTTAAAAAGATCTACACTGAATGACCGTGTCTGGAAAAGCAAGCTCATGGCCCATATAATGGCTTCAGCATTCCAGGCATCACAGCACAAAAATGTTCATGTGTTTCTCTTGATCTGAACTGCACTGGGAAGTGTAGGCTCTGCATTCGTTTGTCAGAAGCAATGAAGGGCTCACAATTGCTAGTATACAAACTGAAAATGTTTTATAATAGATCTGCTGTTTAATTCTATTTAGATTAGAGTTTGCTTTAATACAAATGGGAACTGGCACTTACAGAAAAGTATTTGACGGCAGGTACTTACATACTGTGACTTCATCAACCCCATTTGAGTTCACAAGCCAATTTGATATTTGATTTATATTCAGCAGAATTAGTTAAAATTGAATCAGGATCAATTTTACTGTTAAGTCATCTTACAGAATCATAGAATTGGAAGAGACCTCGTGGGCCATCCAGCCAACCCCTTGCCAAGAAGCAGGAAAATCACATTCAAAGCACCCCCCGACAGATTTTTATTATTATTATTATTATTATTATTATTATTATTATTATTATTATTATGTAATTTTGGCAGAACCTTGAGACATATTCAAATAAATGGGTAATATATAGTAGAAATCTCACGGGAAAGAAGATACGTTTTTAAATTTTTAATTTAAAATGTACTCTACCAGCTGTCTTCAAGGAGAGCTAAAATGTAAAGAAAAAAATGAAAGCCAACAATTGACTGCAGCAGTGCATCACACTTTGATTATCCTCTAGTTTCCATGCAGTCACTGTAGGCATGCGTGATCTGCAGGCATTAGCAAATAATCACTGAAAGCAAACATTATTGGGATGGTTACAATGGAAGGGGCAGTGAGTAAGGCTGGGGTTGCCATGTGAAGGCTGGCTGTTCCTCTGGGATTGGTTGGCTATTGAGTCAGGAGAGCAGAGGCGTTTACACATTCTGCGCCTAGATAGATGCTGGACAGAGCTGGCGAAGGAAAGCAGTCCTGGCCATGTTCCCATTAACACTTTCATAGCCCGTGAGAATAGGTGGAAGAAAACAGGAATATTTGCATGAGAGTAAGCTTCGCTTCCTGTTAGTTGTATCAGGGGGAGCAGTTGTTCAGAGTCAAGAGTGTTTCTCTACAGAAGCAGTCTAGTTGAAATGACAACATCTGGAAGGCTGATCATTCAAATGGCAGCAGCCTTTAACAACATGTCAATAAAAGAATTCACAGAAATAACAAATATTTCATTATCGTGAAATCCTGGTCGCTTCTGTGGTGAGGGAATCAGCCGTCTATGAAGACATTGCCCAGGGGACGCCTGGATGTCTTGCAATCCTGCGAAGAGGCTTCTCATGTCCCCCCTGGGGATCACAACCAGATACAGTGAAGACAGCTGCCTTTGCGCTGTGCTACTCTGCTGCTGAGTATGCATGCCCAGTGTGGAACACATCTCACCACACTAAAACAGTGGATGTGGCTCTTAATTAGACATGCCGCATTATCACGGGGTACCTGCGCCCTACACCACTGGAGAAATTACACTGCTTAGCCAGTATTGCACCACCTGACATCCGCCTGGAAGTAGCAGCCAATAGTGAAGGGACCAAGGCAGAGACATCTCCAGCTCATCCCCTGTTTGGGTATCAGCCAGCAAGTCAACGACTTAAATCTAGAAATAGTTTTCTAAGATCTACAGAGACACTCGCTGTAACACCTCAGCAAGCGAGAGTCCAAAAGTGGCAGGCTCAAAGCCAGAACCTCAACCAATGGCTGATACCAAATGAGAGACTCCCCCCTGGACACACAGAGGACTGGCCGACTTGGAAGGCGCTGAACAGACTGCGCTCTGGCACCACAAGATGCAGAGCCAAACTTCAGAAATGGGGCTACAAAGTGGAATCCTCGACATGCGAGTGTGGAGAGGAGCAAACCACTGACCACCTGCTGCAATGCAGCCTGAGCCCTGCCACATGCACAACGGAGGACCTCCTTGCGGCAACACCAGAAGCACTCCAAGTAGCCAGATCCTGGTCAAAGGACATTTAATCAACTACCAAACTCACAAATTTTGTATTTTGTCTGTTTGTTTGCTTTGCTCTGTTAGAAATGTAATATAATCGACTGATTGCCCTGACACGATAGATAGATAGATAGATAGATAGATAAATAAATAAATAAATAAATAAATTGTGAAATCCTTCAAGAGAATACACTCGTTTTCTTTTTATTTTACTTTGTAATTAGTGCTATCTTCTATATATGAATGGCAATTGCCAGGTGATCTTTATACCAGCAAACTCCATGTTTATATGGGTGACAATAAAGTCAGTATGGTTGGTTTGTCAAACCAAGAAGAGTCTGCTAGAAATTCATGTTTTCTGGTAATGGTCCATCAAGGAAGCCATCAGTATGTCCAGCACTTAGACAGTATGTCCAGCACTTAGACAGTGTATTCGCTTAAGTGAACACTCAGGTTTTTGATGGAAATATGGCCCCTATTGATTGATCAATTCCTGAGTAGAATTTCACTTCCTATAGCACTATGCATTTCTGTTCCTGGGTTACAAATGTTATTTCCTAATTGGTTCTATCATAAAAACATGGGAGAAGTTGCTATAGTTTTTCAATGAATATCTCACAAGAGTGTCAATCAATTCAACATTGTTTTAGCAACAACAAAAAACTAAGTTCCTGGAGTATTACAACTACTTTCAAAGTACAGTAAGTAACACTTTCAAACCAGGAACAGTTTTTTTTCCCCTAATTTTGTTACATAGTGTATTTAATGAGTTGAAAGTGAACTCTCACCTCTCTTTCCAACATATACCGGTAATAACTGCCATATTGTTTTAAGAGCTATTTTGTAATGTTTTCAGAATTGTTTTCTGCTCCTCAGATAATACAGAAACATTAATATTTTTACAATTTTAAAAGATACTTTTTATTAATGCAGAAACAAAATGAATACAAAAATTCTTACTTCAAATTCTGATAACTTTTTCTTTTATCATCAGTGTGTAGCAAATGCAATCTTCCAATTCCTTTTATTGCTCTATGGAACATTTTAGAATATATTCAAAATATGTCCTAGTTTTTGGTCATCCTTGATATGCCATGGTCCTAAAAGTTGTAGAGCATCCCATGATCTGGTCTCGAGTTCCACTTCACTTCCAAGATTCAAGACCACATAAAATGTTAACAACAGAACATATGCAAAAAATAAATAATACTTCTAGTCTCCTTGCTAACATTATTTTTACAAAATGCAAAAACAGTCTAAGCACCAAAGAAAGTTTATTCTATAAAATGGTTGTCAAACCAATATACCAAAAAGATACAGAATGTTCTCTACTAAATCTTTTTTTAAAAATCATAGCGGCACATACCACAACTATTTAACTCCCGTTGTCTTAAGAGATAAAATGTGCATCTTGCTCTTCCTGTACCCATAATCGACAGCTTCTCTGATGGTGTAATTTGTAGTTGTATTAATCACTCTTATCTTCACCTTGATAATGTCGATACTCTGGTTTAAGTTCCCAGGTATTTTTGTGCGTTCCTTTAACATTGTAGATGCCTATTTCTCTTAAAATTTCTTTCAAGTAGCTCTAAAACAAAAAAGAAAATATTTGAAATTAATCCAGAATCATAAAATCATAGAGTTGGAAGAGACCACATGAGCCATCTAGTCCAACCCCATCAGGCAGAAAAATCACAATTAAAGCACCCCCAATAGATAGCCACCTAGGCTCTGTTTAAAAGCATCCAAAGAAGGAGCCTCCACTGCACTCCGAGGCAGAGAGTTCCACTGCTGAACATCTCTTATGGCCAGGAAGTTCTTCCTAATGTTCAGGTGGAATACCATATACATTAAACCAGTAACAAAAATGATACTAAAATAATGTAAGAGGCAAGGAATATTCAGAAGTAGATTTGGCATTTCCTTCTGAAACATAGCCTATAGCACCCTGCTTAGATATTTCACCAATCAAAAGAACTCAAAATGCATGCCTATTGCCCTAAAACCAAGAAGGAACACAAAATCTGTAGTCTGCAGAGTCAAAACTGATCAATCCTGATACCAGCCATTGCTGCTGATGCCTCTGACACACACAGATTTCTGTTTTGAATTCCATTAAACTCTTTCCTTTCTTTGCTGTACCTATGATAAGTACACATAACTAAATTGAAGTAGAAGCATTAATGATGAGGGAAATAGAATTCATCCAGGTTAAAGGTGAGCACTAGGTTCACTTAAGCGAATACACTGGGATGCAAATTATGAAGGAAAACATAGCAAACCAAAGGAGGAAGCAAAGGAGGGTTATTGTCAGACACCACAGAGTTACTCCCACTGTTCAGACAGCTCTGTAGAGGGGGAGTAATTACTTATTCATTTGTGTTGTTAAAGTATTTCTATCCCACCCTGTATCAAAATATCTCAGAGCAGCAAAGAAATTAGTGTTAAACATGTAAAAACAGTTCAAGACAAAATAATTTAAATACACTAAAACATATTAAACATAATTAACAAATTTAAAAACACAGTAAATCAGTGTAAATCATGCATAGTAACATGTCAGTGAGGTCCAAAGGCTTTAATGAACAGTTAACCTTTCATTTGGTGCTGAAAGTAAACTGGAGCTGGGGTCAATCAAGCTTCCCACAACCTGGAATACTACAGGCTCTCTCCCATGTCCTCTCACACAGTTGCTTTTACTGGTGGGACACAGAGGAACCCCCACCCCAGAAGACCTCAGTCCATAGACCTATGATGGCACCAGAGCGGATTAGGACCAATGATACTTACAAAGTGGCACATGGAGTGGACAGTTTCCTGGAAACTGCTAATATCCCTCTCCCTCCACACCCCTCTCTCTATATATATCAAAGTCAAAGCAGTATGTATGTATGTATGTCTATCTGTTTGTACCACAAGATTACTGCTGGGTGAAGTGGCCCTCTGTGATTCCACTGGGAAGGTTTTGTGAGGGCAAGCAAGGGAAGAAGAAAAGGAAGCAAGAAAAGAAAGAGGAAGAAAGTGGATGGGGGAAACGGAGGAAGGAAAAAAGAGTCACAAAGAGCCTGCCACCATTGCCAGAGTGTTGCCATGAGGAAGGCCTTTTTAGAGCTGGAGAAGGGCAGAAGCAAGCAGGGAGCGGTCCAAACGACAACTGGGCAACATTGGGCATATACACTGTATATCTGATTTTTTTAGAATCCCTGCACTAGGCCTTTCAGGGCCCATCCTAATTGAGGTCTGGACTTGTGAAACAGAGGATTGATCAGGAAGTGGAGACATTGAGGATGGGGTTCTTCTCCAGTTTATGAAACAACAGTAATCATTGTTTTTCTTTTTTTTCTTTTTAAAGTTTGTGATTACTTCCTTGGGTATAAACATCTTCTGATTTTGCAATTAGAATTTCCCAAATATAAACTAGATTGCATATATTTGATAGGCATTAACTTACTCTGTGGTTATATAAAGGTCACATATTGTACATGATTCATGGCACATAGTGCCAATATGGAAACCAAGCTCACACATCATTATGCAAAGCCAAAGATCTCTGGGAATCTCAACATGCTATGGACAAACAGCACATTGGTACAAGCTGCCCAGTCATGAATGCTGGCATCAGGACTATCTTCCAGTCCTTTGATCACTTTGATCGCCCTTCTCTGGACAGGTTCTAGCCTCTCAACACTGAACACCTGAACTGTGATGCCCATAACTAGACAGAGGATTATAGATGAGAACTGGCTAGAGTAGAATAGAGTAAGACTATTACTTCCCCCAATGCAGACACTATGTTCCTATTAATGTTGCCTAGAATTGCGTTGGTCTTTTTAACTCTCACATCATACTGTTGACTCATGTTCAATTTATGATCTATTAAAGCCTCTGGTCCATTTCACACATACAGCTGTCAAGTCACCCATTCTATGTCTGGACATCTCATTTTTTCTGCTGAGGTGCAGCACTATGTATTTTCTCCTGTTGCCCTCTATTCCAGTCTCCAAGCCATTGATAAATGTCAACTAGCAATGGGCCTAGGAAAGACACTTCTCTCCGGGATGAAAATGAGCCAATGGCCTGTTCACCAATTCCCAACTCAACAGTAGCATTGTCTAGCCCAGTTTACTAGTTTCTTTATGATTATTTTATGAGAGATCTTGTTGAAAGCCTTACTAAAATCAAGGCACATTACATTCCCTTCATTTACAAAACTTGTAACTTTACCATCAAAAAAGAGGTAAAATTAGTCTGGCATAACTTATTTTTGGGAAAGCCATGTTGACTTTTAGTGATCATTACATTCTTTTATAAGTTCATATAGACTGTCTGTTTAATGATTTACTCTGAAATCTTTTCTAATATTGATGTCAGATTGCCTGAGTGGTGATTGCTGGGATTTCTGTTCCCCATGAATTTTCAAAGATTACTGCTAGGGTTACTTTGGCAATTTTTTAAATGCCCTTGGATGTAGTTCAAAAGTCGCACAGTATTTTTGCGTGTTCATTTTCCGCTACCTTTGCAGATGATCCCACCAATTCTTTACTGCTGGTAGGTGGAACTTGTGACATAAGTTCCAATTAACCATTTTTATTATTCTTCATAATCATCGTCATCATTATTATCATGCTTGACTTCCCCTGTACATTTCTCTAGAAGAACACTGTTTGTTCCCACCGAAGGAACCTGCCACTTCCACCCCTATAACCAGGTCGCCACTGTTGGTTAGGAGCTGATCTAAAACAGTTGGTTCCCTTGCTGTCTCTTCCACCTTCTGGATAATGAAATTGTGTGCAAGGCAAGGAAGGAATTTGTTGGACCTAATATTCTTGGCAGAGTCTGGCTCCTTTTCTTTGGTGATGTTACTTGGAAACCGCCCTGGGTCCCCCTCGGGGAGATAGAGCGGTAAATAAATAAAGATGTATTATATTATTATTATCTCCCCCCTTCTAGATGAATACAGACTTAGCTTTTTAGTAAATTGCACAGAAGAAACAGTTTCAATGCATGTTCCAGAAAGTTGTCGGGTTCTGTAGTATGTTTTCAGGGGATCAGGTGCATGTGAAAAGTAACTAAATACAGTAGACTCTCAGTTAACCACCACTCATGGGGACTACGTGTTTGCTTGAGAACAGAAAAATAGGCCTAACTCATACTATACCTCATACTATTCCTTACCATAAACTCTACATTGACTTGCTATTAATGTTTAAATAAAGCATTTAAAAGCAAATTAAATTAAGTTTGTCTTTATTTGTCTTAATATAAAATAGTAATGTATTTATGGTATAGCTTTGTGATGCAGTGTTATTTTTTCAATTTATTGGGTCAGTTGTTTGAGAGGTCCAGTCAACAGGGGTTTAACCCACTGCACTGGGGGTGGGGGCTCTGTCTTTTGAAATGATATGCATCATTTCACTGCTGCAAAGAGCCTTCATACTGAATCAACACCAGCAGATGGCAGTAGTTAATCACAAGAACATCCAAAGCTGGAAATGGAATTTTTTTCAGTGGGCAAGAACTATTTACAGGATGCTGTAGTCTGAAAGAGAAAATTAGTTGGATATGACAACTTGACCCTTTCCAAATCTGAATATTTAATTGTGGCATCGTTTTGCAGAAACAAGCCAAACCCTTTGGAATCGTTAGAACAAACAGGTTCAGCACTACACCTGAACATTTTCAGGACCACTATAAGAAAATATCAGTGAACATTCTGAGTCCATCTTAAATCCACCCCTATTTTCTATCTGAATAGAGTTCCTATGAGACAGCAGGATTACAGTTCAAAATTATCAGGGGCACCAGTAAATATTTTTTAAAGGATGTACCGTATATTCTGGCATATAAGACGACTGGGCGTATAAGAGGACCCCCAACTTTTCCAGTTAAAATATAGAGTTTTGGATATACTCGCCGTATAAGACTACCCCTCTTCCAACGCACACCAAATAAAAATTTTAAAAGCATCAGATCTGATTTCAATATGGTAATATTCCTATTACTGTCCCTCCTTCTCTGCCTCTCAGATCTCGTACATGCGCACCTGCACCGCTTCACTGCAGTCTTCAGGAGCAAGATCTGAGAGGCAGAGAAGGAGGTACAGTAATAGGATACAAGGGCGGGCCAGACAGGTAAAAGAGGTGTGTTTTTGTGGGCCCAGAGCCACTCTATCTCTTTTTTCCATATCCCGGGCGCCCCGGACACCTGCAGCTTGCTCCGCCCTTCACTTACACCTTCCCAGTGAGGCGCCCCTTCACCTCACCATCAGGACCACATTAAGTCCACAAATCCTGATGAATCGATTTTCTTCTACCGTACTTGTTCAGCGTCACCCTTAATGCTTTCATACAGTCGCTGCATACGGCAGGGACATGGTCACTGACATTTTTGAGCTCCCCCCACAATATGCAACAACCACAGATTCTCCCATCCCGATTGGAAGTTTCAGCACCCATTCTATAAGACGACTCCCGGTGTATAAGACTATTCCCACATATCAGGCGACTCCCATGCATAAGGCTACTCCAGCGTATAAGACGACTCCCGCGTATAAGACGATCCTTGACTTTTAAGAAGATTTTCTTGGGT